ATGTGTACTCACCCCCATGAAGCAAAATGATGTGCAAACTTGAAAAATTTTTAAATTCTTATTACGTATGTTGTGACACTTTGTGGATAACAGCTTCTGGATAAGAAGCTGGGATAAGAGAGTCTAAAACAGAGGATAAGGACCCTTATATCTATATGCTTCATAAACAAAGCAAGTTCAGCCAAAGGATACTGCACCCTACTTACATTAATAATTCAGATTTAAAGTCTAATTTTATTTTCTTTATGTTTTATTTATTTCTGAGGGAGAGAGAGACAGCATGAGCAGGGGTAGGCCAGAGAGAAGGGGAGATACAGAATCTGAAACAGGCTCCAGGCTCTGAGCTAGCTGTCAGCACAGAGCCCAAAGCGGGGCTTGAACCCACGAACCATGAGTCATGACCTCAGCCGAAGTTGCACGCTTAACTGACTGAGCCACCCAGGCGCCCCTAAAGTCTAATTTTAAAATTATGTTTGGAGAATGTGGAAATACTTCTGTGGAGATTATTCTATGGTTAATAAACAGAGTTCATGAAGAAGGCCTATGGGACTTGTGTGTTTTTAAAACCTGGAGAAAACAAGTCAGAAGGGAAACTTAATGTCTTTGAGTGGAAACACAGGATGTTATTGAGTTTTTCTGTCTCTGCTGAAGACAGAACAAGAATAGTTTATGCTATAGCATGCAGGGTTTTGGTTGACTACGAAGGAAGAATTTCCCAATAGAATATTAAATATCGGGATGGCATGAATTGATTTTAACACCTTTCTATCCTTTAAGTGGGAACTCCTAGACTGTATTGAGCCAAACTCTTTCACTTACTAGTCAAGAAAACTTGGAAAAGTTATATCATTTCATTGAGGGTCTATTTTCTTACTCATAAAATGGGCCTAATTTGTACCTCATACTGTTACAGGAGATTGAATCTAAAGGAGGTAGCACAGTGGCTGACACATTATAAGCATTCCAAAAATAGCATTAATAATAAAAATGATAGCAAATAGCTATTAGTTATTTGATACATACCAGACACTGTTCTTAGCACTTTATGGGGTATTTTATTTTGGTTTCAGAGTAATCATGTAAGGTAGGTGCTTTTATTTCTGTTTCACAGGTGAGAAAACTGAGGCACAGAGACATGAAGTAACTTGCCCCAAATGCCCAATAGAGCTAGGAAGTGATGAAGCTCCAATACGAGCTCAGGAAGTCTGTCTCCAGAGCCTGTGTTTCTAGTCACTATATTAGCAACCTCTGCATGTTTATAAACATTGAACTTTTAAAATAAGAAATTGGCACACTCTTAAAAAATTCATAGTCTAGTCGTCCTAGCTTTCCATTATCCTTCAATTATTTTCCCTTCCATGTTTCAAATGTTTTTATTTACTAAAATACTATAATGATAAGTAATAACTCATTTTTTATTGTTATTCATCAAAGATATATGTTACAGAGCTCCTGATCATTATGAGGCAACAGAATTATCTGAATTGACATAATCCTTGTCAAAGGCAAAGCAACTTGATAATTTTGATTGGTTCGTGAAGCTTTTTCATTGCACAGTTTACATAAGTCTTCCTAAGATACCTATAATAACTAATTGGCTCTCTTCCTTCAAATATTAAGTTCACAGAAGTTAATATTCTATGTATTATGAGGCATATCTGTTGCTGATACATGAATCCCCTCTACTGAAACGCCATTTTAAGTATCTAGGTTCCCCCCCACCAATGATTCCTGCATGTGGTTATATGTGTTCTATGGGCAGACAGATGTACTACATTAGCAATTTTCAAACAGTGTGGTCAAGATAAGTCTATTTAGGGTCCAGAATGTACTTCCAAAATATACATTCAATTATCAAATGTTGCAAGTGTTTGTTTTAATGTAGGAGCCAAAATATTGAATTGTTGGATGTAGTTAAGTATTAAAAGATTATCTGACATTGGCAGCTAAGAGATAGACTGAAGAGATGAGGACCTGGAGTTAGACTGTCCAGTGTGTGTGTGTGTGTGTGTGTGCATATGTGTGCATGTGTGTGTACACGCATGTGCACAAAGGACGATTACAGAGAGAAATAAGCAATGGTGTGCTACTAAACCACTTTTTAGGGGGATATAAGACCCTAATTGGTAACATTTGCCAATTTCCATGTTTTCAATACTCCTATCACGGACAGTTTCGAGCTATCAACAGTTCAACAACTTTATATATTTGTTTTTATTTTTAATATATTTTAAATTTAACAGTCAGCTTTCTCAAGTCAGTATGAGCCTGTTCCAGCAAATTTGTTTATCACCATTCTCAGGGGTAGAGCCTGAAGATGCTATTATTGAGAATGGGCATCTGACAGCTCAGGTGAAGGAGAAAGTGAAGAAAACATATTTTCTAAGATAAAGTCTATGACTGAAGAATTACAGCCATAAAAGATTCTGAGCCAAGGAGGCCACAATGGGGAGAAATTTTGGAAGGTAGCAATATGGTTAGCAAACAGAAAATGAAGGCCTTGGATGCAGGGGCATATCCCAGACATGACAACCAATTAGACAAGGAGGAGGAGAAAAAGATGCTGTTGTTCAAACAAGGCAAGGACCTGCTTGCTTCAGAACAGATGTGTTCCTGTCCAATATGATGATTGTCATCACCCTTCTCCGCATTTGCCTCTTGTGTAAGATGCTCATCTTCCTGTCCCTGAGGGAACTTCAGGCATCTTTGGCAATACTGGAAAGTACCATTCACCAGGAATTCATAGACAAGAAGTCCAAGCCTGGTGTCAATATCATGGAAGCCCGATTAGGACTATTCAAGTAATTTAAACAAGTATATTGACATTGATAGCAATAGAAATTCTAGAAACAGACAAAATTTGGAGACCCAGATGGGTAAACAGCAGGCAGTCAGATTTATAGGAGTCTATCAGCAGATATTAGGCTCAGAGAGAGAGATTAGGACACTGATCCAGGGAAAGAGGGGGATATAATCTGAATGGCAAAAGTTCCTAAGCTGAGCAATTGTGTCAGAGACTTCTGATTATCTATCCAAACCATTCTTTCCCTCTTACTTAGAACCTTTGTTTTATTTGATTTGCACAACAAGGTTTGGCCATGTAGTTAATTTCTAGCCAATGAAAAAATAAGCAGCAGTTGCTAGGTAGTACTTTCTGGAAAGTTCTGTAAGAAGAGAACAAAGAGCTGCCACGTGCCTCCCCTATCCTGTCTATATGCCCCCTCCCTGTTACCTCTTTCTCCTGCTTTTTCCTTGAAAGACAGCTATGATGGATAGTGCTTCAACAGACGATTTGGGCCATGAAGGACCTTGAAAATTGAAGCAGTGCTAAGGATGTTGTTATAGAAGGAAAGATAGAATCTTGATCCCTGACCACTGAAGAACCATCATAACATTCCTGGACTATCTACTTCTGAGTGTTTTTTATGTTAGAGAAAAATAAACTTTTATCTTGTTTAAGGCACTGTTGTTCACTACTTTGGTACCAAATTAAATTCTTATCTGATATAGCCAGCCAATAAACCAGGTACTAAGGAATAGGAAGGAAGCAGAGATTGGGGATTTTGTTTCAAGAATTCTAGTATAAGGTGGAGAAGAAGGAAGAAGCATAGTTACTAGGACAAGGACGTAAGAGCCAAACTAGCAATACTACTTAAAGCCTACTTCTCTATAAGAGCTACTTAAACTCAAATTCTAATGTCACCCACCCAACATTGCCTTTTACCAATAAGCCAAAAGCAGGATAGCAGATGGTCTAGAAAGAACAGTCAAGTGCCTGGTGGCTGTGAACAGAGAGGGGCCACCTCGGGGAAGGGGACCAGGTAGATCATTATTCTAAAGAGTGAACTGCATTGGGAGTGAAGATTTCAGAGATATATAGAAGATTTCAAGGCATACAAAGGTTTCATGAGACACCGTAGTTCCCATCTAGAAGATCAACTACATTTGACTTCTCACAGTCTGGTGATCAAACTCTCTTGGCTACCCCTAGTCTGACACTACAATCTCCACTCACCAGCATATTAGGACCAATTGTCAAGATGCCTGAAGATGGTAAGGAAAGGAGAAAGTGGAGATCTGGCTTGCAGGAGAGAGATGGAACTAGAAAGAAATACGGGATTTAAGTGAAGGGCTTGAGTGAAGGAAAAAAGGAATAATGAAGTGGTGCCTGCCATGAATTCTAATCAAAATTAGGAGAGTATATGTGTTTATCTGGGGAAATGAAAGAGCAGAGCTGTAAAAACCAGAAGTTTAGACACCAACATTATCTTTTCAGTGCTCCAGTGTGCTATAGTATCTTATCTGACAAGGGATGATCCAGATGTCTAAAACTGCTTCTTTTCTGCCTCATTTACAATAACCAAAGTGCAATGCAAGAATATTAGTGTGCTAATGTCTCGCTTCCTCTCTGCAATGATATCCAAAATGCTGTCACCAAGAGACCTCCTATTTACCAAATTCAGTTGACATTGTTCATCCCTTATCTATGGCCTCCTCTGACATCGCCTTCTTTTGGAGAAGGCTTGGCTCCTCTGTGCCATCACTTGGAGTTCTCATCCAAGCTCTCAGATCACTTCCTATCCATCTCACAGAGTGCATCTTCCCTCTCCTGCCTCTGATGGTTGGTGCCCCCAGTGTTCTGGGCTCAGTCTTTTCACTCTTCAGTTTATAATCTATTTCTAAACTCCTCTCTCATGCAAGGTATTTCATTAGCTCTGTGTATCCCAACTCCAGTATCTATATTTTCAGCTCATGCCTTGTACTTTGGCTCTAGACTTCTAGATCTTAAATCTCTATCATATGTCATACAAATATCTCCGACCCCACAAGTTCAAAATGAGGACTTGCCAACAACCTTGAAAGCCTTTGGAGTACATGGCTACGTCTCATACATTTTCTTACAGTTTCAGGGCATGCAAGCATTCAGTAAATATTGTCAAATGACAACATGGCTGGATATTTTCAGCAAACACATTTAAATGTCATTTATGTATATATTTATAAATATGGAATGCTTCACGAATTTGCTTCCATCCTTGTGTAGGGGCCATGCTGGTCTTCTCTGTATCTTTCCAGTTTTAGTATATATGCAGTGAAGCAAGCACTAAATATTTATTTATTTAACATTTTACTGAAATGTAATTGACATGCAAAAAATTGCACACATTTAAATTGTACAATTTGATGTTTTGATATAATGTACACTTGTTGAATGTTCATTGCAATCAAGACGGGAAGCATAGTCATACCCCCAGAAATTCCATATTTGTGCCCCTTTATGATCCATTCTTCATGTTTTCCCTACCTCCCACCCCCTACTGCCAGGCAACCACTGACCCAATTTTTGTCACTATAATCTAGTTCCCATTTTCTATAATTTTACATAAGTGAACTCATGTATTATGTACTCTCTTTTGGGGACTGGCTCCTTTTATTCATCATAATTATTTTAATTACTCATATTCCTTCATGTATCAATAGTGCATTCATTTTTATTGCTGAATAGTATTTTATTATATCTGTATACCACAATTTCTTTATTCATTCATCTATTGATGGACCTTTCTTTGTGTTGTTCCCAGTTTTTAGCAATTACAAATAAAGTTGCTGTGATCATTTGTGGAAAAGTCTTTGTGTGAACATATGCTTTCCTTTCTCTTGAATAAACAAATAAGAACAGAATGACTAGATTATATGATAGGTATATATTTAACTTTATAAGAAACTGCGAAACTTTCCCCAAAGTTTTATACTATTTTACATTCCCACCAGGGGTCTGTTCTAATTCCTCCACATCCTCAACAACACTTGATGTGGTCAATAGTTTTAATTTTAGCCATCCTAACAGATGCAAAGTGGTGTCTCACTGTGGTTTTAATTTGCATTTTCCTATTGACTAATACTGTTGAACATCTTTTCATGTGCTTAGCTACCATTCCTGTATTTTCTTTGGTGAAGTGTCTATTAATTTTCTCTGCCCATTCTTAAAATGTGTTATTTTGAGAGTTATTTTTATAGTTGACCCTTGAGGAACACTGGGGTTAAGGGCAATGACTTCCCCACATAGTTGAAAATCTGCTTACAACTTTTGACTCCTCCCAAACTTAACTACTAATAGCCTACTGTTAACTGGAAGCCTTACTGATAACATAAACAGTCAATTAACACATATTTTGTATAAGTATAATATAAGCTAGAGAAAAGAAAATATTATTAAGACAATTTTAAGGAAGGGAAAATACATTAGGGTATGATATTGTATTTATTGAAAAAAATCAATGTTCAAACTCATGTTATCCAAGGATCAACTGTATATACTGAATACAAGTTCTTTATCAGATATATATGATCTGCAAATATTTTTTCCCAGTCTATGGCTTGTCTGTTCACTTTTTAAACTGTCTTTTGAAGAGCAGAAGTTTTTAATTTTGGAGAGGTTTAAATTATTCTTTTATAGGTTGTGCTTTTGATATCATTTCCAAAAAATCTTTGCTTAACTAAAGGTCACAAATATTTTCTCCTCTGTTTTCTTCCAGAAATTTTATAATTTTAGCCTTTAGGTCTATGACCCATTTTGAGTTAATTTTCATATATAGTGGAACATATGGATTAAAGTTCATTGTTTTGGGCGCCTGGGTGCCTCAGTCGGTTGGGGTCCGGCTTCGGCTCAGGTCATGATCTCGCAGTTCGTGGGTTCGAGCCCCGCGTTGGGCTCTGTGCTGACAGCTCCTCAGAGCCTGGAGCCTGTTTCAGATTCTGTATCTCCCTCTCTCTCTGACCCTCCCCTGCTCACACCGTCTCTCTCTCTCTCTCTCTCTCTATCTCTCTCTCTGTGTCTCTCTCTCAGAAATAAACATTAAAAATTTAAAAAAAATAAAGTTCGTTGTGATGCAAGATGGTATTTAATTTGTTGAAACACATATAAATTTAAACAAATTATAAGAGTCTTTTCATGTGAATCAGTGGAAAACTTTACTTTAAAATTCTATGATCAAGGATAATATACTAACAGCCCAAACTAACTGCTTGCCTAATTTTTAAAAACATGTTCTTTATTCTATTTTCAAGATGTCTTATTAACTTCTTTATTTGTATAGTACAGGAATAAATCAACATTGTTTGTATCTTGTGTTCCATTGACCTATTACCAAGTGTGAGTTCTATAAGCCTGCTTTGATCTAGATAGCTCATGGGCCTTGCAGGTAGGAGAGGAATAATAGGAAACAGGGTCAGTATGAAATAGGGATGAATATATCTAGTTGGTACCTCATTAAAATGCTCAAAACCCTTAACTGCCATATTAGAGAACCTCCAGGCTTATCGCATGAAGCATCTTTTCTGTGTGGATTTTGACCTTGCAAGAACGGAATACCTTTAATAGTGTGTGTATCTGTATATTAGTAGGAGGCGGGAAGAAGATGGCTCATTACGGATCTTACTTCAGTTTAGTAGGACGAGTTCTGGGATAGATCCATCTTCCTCCTTTGGAGTGGCTCACCAGAGCTTAATAAAAATGTCTGAAATGTTTGACATGGTCTATGAAATCCTAAAGCCAAATACCAGGGCTCAATAAGCCACTGGAAGAGGTATATCTTTGGGTAGCCATTTAGGCTAGGTAGTGGATATATGTGGATATGTGTATTGCTTTCAAGCATACATTTAACACTTGCCTCATTCTTCATAGCCCCTGTATCTTCAATAAGTCAGATCATTTTATAAAAGCTGATCCCACCCCTAACTTCAGGTGTACAGTATTAATCTATTAGCTCTATTAATGTCCCTAGCCCTTGCAGTTGGCTCATTGGATGGGAATGTGACATGAGTTGACTCAATGAGAGTGAATCTCAAGACTTGTGCAGAAACTGTCAGAAGTTTCTTCTCTACCCCTCCAAGCACTTGATAATAAAATGGTAAGGGCTGACAGGATAGGTTCTGTCTGAAACCTAGAAATGAAGCCAACACTGTAGATGGCAGAAGGAATAGACAATGAGAAAAGTCCTTGGTGATATAAGGAGCTACATGAAACTTCACTTGACTACTTCAAGACTGCTCAATTGTGTGAGGCAATAAGTTTCCTTTTTCTTTGATGCCTGTCACTGAATGGGAGGTAAGATAAAATTGGGTATATTAAGTTTGCAAGGAACTGAGATCTGTTAGGGCTTTTTCAGGTTTATTGGGATAGGCACAAAGCCTTAGCAAGCCTCTTGAAAAATTGAAAATTGGTTCAAGAAGCAATTGAGATTTAGCGAATCTGTTTTTTTTAATCTTCTCAGAAGTTAGAATCTAACCCTATTCAAGTGCTCTATTATACTAATGATTTAGCTGCTTTCTGCTCCAAATACTACCAGTTACTTGACTCTGTCTCATATTCAAATTTTGGTTCAGTCAGCCAGTTAGAATATCAAAATCTCTGTCAAACATCACTGGCAAATGTACAGATACTTGGCTGGTCCACTCAAGATAGAGTGTTAAAGAGCATGGTGATGAAGGATAAGGGAATCTTCCACAGTAAGCTGTACATATGGAAGTTACACTGAGCTTTCTCAGAAAGGAGTCTGTCAGGCACCATGAATGTGCTGTCCAAGACTACACTTTCTGGAATCCGTAAACTTACGATGGGTAGTGTGAGAGCTGAGGGAGCTGGGAAGCTGAGAGTTGGCAGAGATCTGACCATGTGTCTATGAGGACTTCTGGAATGGTCATGTTGGCAAGTCCTGTGCAATCGTATAATAAAAATGTTAAAATGTGATTTTGACAAAAATCACATGGGAATGTAAGTGCCAAGGTGATGGGGATGGGCTCCCTGCGGTGTCTCCTATGGCCCTATCAACCAGCTTCCTTCCCCTTGGTTTCTGGTTAGATTCAGTCAAGAGGGAGCCCTGGTGATAGATGGGAGAGTTGGAGGAGAGTCATGGTTTATTCCCCCTGGCTCTTATCCTATGGTATTGCCCCAAGCTGGCTGTGTTTATTGACTAAAGGTCACTCATCCTGCATTCTGGAGATCACAGCTCCTTGAAAGGTGACTTTTCCCACACGATTCTCCCCTGCCGTGTTCTAGTAACCTCGTCTTGCCCTCTGCTATTACCAGCTGTGGTCTGGCACAATCTCTTTTGGTTTCCCTATACCCTGATCACTTCCTTATAAATCGTCCCCTTCTAAATAAAACTCAGTTTTCAACTACTTTGTAGCTTGTCTATTCTTTCTTATTAACAGAGACTTTGGCTAGCAGAAGTTTTTGTTTTTGGTGAAGTCTAATTTATCATTTTTCAGAATCCATGATTGCTTTTGTATCTTGTCTAAAAAATATGTTGCCTATCCCCAAGTCATGTAATTATTTTCCTAGGTTCTCTTCTAAAGTACTATGATATTTATTTTTATTATGGATTTGGCTGATCCATGACATATTAATAGTTGTGTACAGTGTGAGCTAAGGCTCCATTTTTTTCTCTCATATGGATAATCCAGTTATTCCAATGCCATTTGTTGAAAGACTACTATCACCATTGAATTGTTTTCATTAATGTGGTTGGATTTATGTCTATCATTTTGTATTCGTTTTCTGTTTGTTCCTGCTGTTGATTTGTTCCTCTGTTTATCCTTTTATGCCTTCTTCTGGATCAACTGAATATAGTTTAGAATTTCTGTTTAATCTATATATTGGCTGTTTAGTTATACCTCTTTCCATTATGTGTTTCAACTAATTCCTCTAGGAATTATAATATCTACCCTTAATGTTTTTTATGGCCTTCTTAGAATTATTCTTTATAATTTTATATAAAATTATCCAGCTCTTTACCATTTCCAATGTTTTTATTCCTTCCTGAAGATTCATATTTCCATATAGTATCATTTCCTACAGCCTGAAGAATGTTCTTTGTAATTCTTGTTGTACAGGACTTCTGATGATGAATCCTTTTAGTTTCTTTTTCTTAAATCTGAAAATGTTTCTATTTCATCATCATTCTTAAAGGATATTTTCGCTGGATTTAATCTTTTTTCTTTCAGCACCTTAAATATGTCACTGCACTGATTTCTAGCCTCTGTTGTTTCAGATATGAAGTTAACAATAACCAAGAAGAAATGCATTTTTCCATACTGCTTTCAA